GATAGCTTTCATGGCAGACGGTATCGAGGATTTAGGGCAGCACAGACAGGAAGAGGCAGCCACAGGGAAGATATCCTATAGGAAGATGGGAGGGCAGCATGCAAAATGTACTTAAGGCAGCTGCCAGTTACAATACCAATAATAACAATAACAAATACACAGACTTATTGAGGATACCAACTACATAAGGCTCATCAACTTCATGGAGGTTTGTGGTGCCTTTTAGGGTGGAAATATAAAACAGCACAATATGAAAAACTAAAAGCATTAAATTTCTTTAACAACAATTTTTATAATAGTCATTTTCCACTACTGACAATAAGCCAAATACTTATCCACTATTTAAAATTATAGGCTCCTAGAGATCCAGCCAAGAATTCAGTTTGCAGATTGTAAAATAAATAATGAATTTATCTCACTATTATCAATATAATGAATCTATCTCAAAATGAACCCCACATATCTTTTTAACATTATTCTGTTACATTTTAACATTATTCTGTTATACGTACTTCCTTTCTTGACTTCTTTCTTCTCCCTACCACTATGATGATTTAGCTATAGTTTAATCTCTTATCATACTTGCATCTCAACATTGAAAACACAGGTGGCTAGGCGTGGTGGCTCACGCCTGGAATCCCAGCACTTTGGGAGGCAGAGGCAAAAGGATTGCTGGAACCCAGGGGTTCAAGACCAGCCTGGGCAACTTGGAGAGACCTCATCTCTACAATAAATCAAAAAATTAGCTGGGCATTGTGGCATGCACCTATGGTTCCAGCTACTGGGAGGCTGAGGCAGAAATATCATCTGAACCCAGTCAGTCAAGGTTGTGGTGGCTGTGGGTATGCCACTACATTCCAGTCTGGGTGACAGAGTGAGATTCCAACTCAAAAAAACAAAAACAAAAACAAAAATATAAGCTCCTTCCTCTTACATTAAACTGAGGCCACAGAGGCCTCAACATGTCCTGAGTATCCCAAGGACAAAATATGTGTAGGCAACAGAGAGAGGCACCTCTCCAAAAGAACTATACCCAAGGCTCTTACATCTATTATACATGGTGGGCTGGCTCCTGCCAATATTGGAGACCATATAGGCTCGCTGGATAAAACTGCTACTAGAAATCTCAAGCCATAATGTTAAAAGATAGATTTTGTCAAGAAATCTTGATTAAAAATAATGCCTCTAACCATGGCCTCACCTTGGCCATTCACTGACTTGAGTATCTCCTGTGATTTTCTAGTTATGGAACTGGCCGACTCTGCATGTGTCTCACTCTTCACTGCAACTTAATTCTACATCTAAAACTTCCCACTACCTTTCAAATGCCAACCCTGGTGAGAATTCTTTGCCTCCTGTCTTCAGCCTGGGCGATAATCCTGTCAGGATGGTTGGATCCTGACTGGCTAGAATCGAATTACAAGAAAGCTAGCTAGAATTGTCCAGAGAAGGAATAAGTATAACTTTATCTTAACATGTCAAATTCTTCTATTCATACCATTTCCAATAAAATATAAGGTTTAAACAACAAAAGTTATTCAACTCTTGTTGACAGTTTAAGCAATATCCAATATAATTTAGTTCCCACATAGCAAAAGAAAGATAAACTTTAGAGTTTAATAAGAAATTTATCTGTATGTATAGAAGTTTAAATTGCACATATATTTATAGTTGAAGAGGAATGTTTAAAATAAGGGGGATTAATTAGCAAATTAGCCACATGACCACAATTATAAATATTTTAGCTAAGAAAATAAACTACTTGCAGACAAGAACAAGCTAGTCGATATTACTGCTAAGAAAATTATAAACTAGTTAGACAATTTTTAAAGCAAGTACTGAAGGGCATCAATGAATTTATCTCCCCAAATATAGTATATACTTCAAATTAGTTTCTTCCTAGTCTAAATTATTGAGGTTTAACTACTATCCAATGTAAATTAAAATACCTCTCCAGTATTTTCAAACACAGCATCTCAGCAACCTGTTACCATGTCTCAGTTAAACCTGATCATGAGGTCTGCCTAGTCAACACCATCAAAGATAAGACTGGTTTCCATAAACATGGCGCATTCACTGTTGATCCTTCCCCAAATGGCACAGAACTTGGAATGGAATAGGCACACTATATTCAGTGTTTGTTCAATGAGAAAATACACCAGAAAAAGAAAGGCATTTCAACATGTCACATAAAGCTATATATTAGAAGTAATTATTATATTAGTATACATTCCATCATTTTAGTAGTAAGAAAATTAGCAGGCCAAACTAAGGCCCACACCAGTGCATTTTCAGTGTGTCATTCCTTAGAGTAAAGGTAAGATTTACAAAGAACAGCCAAAATAAGTTAATCTCCCAAGTTAGAAAGCATGAGGTCAAGCTGGGTCTCAGCGCTCCTTAGAAAGATCATGCTGTTGTATTGCTATGATGACAAAATGGCAAGGAAGAAAAGGAAAATGGTTTATTAGTTTATTCCAGTTTATTTCCCAAGAGGATTATTCGGGCACTTGACCAAGTAATGGGTGATGACCTAGGCAGTACAGCATTAAAGATAAGGTGAAAAGGAACAGACAGTAGAGGTAATTCACTTTATCATTCAAATGATTCAACTGCATGGGGCCATGCTAATAAGTCAAACAGACACTATAACAAACAAACAAACAATGACAACAACAAAAAAAAGAATCAGGCAATCATGATGCAAGAGAAGCTACATCCAAAATTATGGATAAAAACTTACCACCTAGAAGGAAAATTTATTTTTAAAATGAATCCAGAAGAAGAAGACAAGAGAAACACATTTTAATATGGTTAGTTCTTGTGAGAGCTACTATACGTTCAACACATTTGTAACAGCATGCATTGTAAATAAAGATGAAGAAATTAACAAATAAAACCCAAATAAGAGATGATCCTAAGTATATAGCACACATTAAGAAAAATAAAAGCTAATAATCACCAAAACATGATCCTAAAGATAGATTTACTATTATTTATAATTTTCTCCCTTGTATAGCAGTAATTTTGCTACTATAGCTAATTTTTAATTACCTGTGGCTCATATAACTCAAGATAATAGTAAAATGTTCATTTATAGAAGCTGTCCCTTCTATCTCAGTTGCTTAAAAAAAAAGTGATACTTTCCCTAATCTCCTTTCGATTCATCAAAAGTTGTCTAAAGACAGGGCAAGATCTATGGTTCTGGACCTGTGGCTGCAGACATGAGGGTGCTCATGGCTTGTTTGGTCATTAAGCATGTTGAGGTTATCCGAATAAAAATTAAACCTCACATTTTTATTTACTATATTTCAACTTATTATGACTAACAAAATACATGTTTACTTGAAAGTATAATTAAAGCTGTACCAGTTTTTTAAAAAGCAACCTAGGAATGAATAGAAACAAATCCTCAAAAACCTGACAACCTTTCCAGAAGTTCCAAGAGTTCCTCACCCTTTAAATAGGAATCAGAATATTACCAGATTCTTTTTTCTTCCCATCATTACACATTTTCTCAGTCAACAGATGCTAAATGCACAATAATACTATGCTGTTAGCACCTCAAACAGTCGATGAGAGGCGACTTCTCCTACTAGGGATCACTGGCTTAGATAAATGTTATATGTGGACAAACACACTCACAATTATCTCCTATGACCAGGAAGTCAGATTAAGAAATTGGGGAGTGGAAGGAAAAGAAGGAGATAGAGTACAACTACTATCACAAGGTGGACAGAGAAGAAACCAGCGAAAACTTGCTGGACTGGTGACAGGAAAAGAGTGGTCAGGACAATTCACTGATTGGTCACCTGCTTAATAACCTGGAAGAATTTAGATTCTGATACTATTTCGAAGTTCATGCTGTGGGAATCTCAGTATCTTCATTTCCACATGGTGTGTTAACAGCACTATTATCCAAGAATGCTTCTTATATATTTTTAGTTTGTATAATCTCTGAACACACGCTACATATGTACACAAGCCACTAAGTTATTCTAAATTCACCTCTTAGAAACTGTAAAAGGAACTTGCTAGTTGAGTATTTTGAGATATGTTAAGAGAATATTAAAATTATGACTATATCTCTCTTCGCTTTGCTGATAGTGGAAACTTTTCTCCTCCCCAGTCTTCTCATAACAGCTGTTCCAACTTAATGGCTCCATATAGCTCCACGTTAACTTTCTTAAAAAGGAGCACTGTAGTTTCAAGATAGGCAATTATGTAAATAGTAGAACAATATCCAAGTGTTAGTTCTTGAATATAATTTTTTTAAATTAAAAAATAAATTATATCATAGGAAGTCAAGGGATGATATACTCTTCACACAGAAACCTGATTTCCTCTTCAAAATAAACAGACCTGGAACTATGACATAATTTTTGTTTTATATAAGTATAGATTAATCTATATTTAAAACATTCTCATTTGCTCTAATATGAACAGTTTAAGTAAATGCTAAAATTCCATTTCTAAGAAAGGTGAAAAATGTATAATTATAAATTTAAGAGGTTCAACCTTGAGAAGATAATTAGGTTATTTTGATATTTCAACTAATAAAAGATGAGATAAGCTAAAGAGCATAAGAAAGGCTGAATTCTTATACTGACTATTGTAATCACTGAAAACACAATTAACATTTTCAGATCTAACTTATATTCTCTTTCAAATATTTGTATGTCAACCATAATACTTAATCAAAAAAATAAAACAAAAAACAAGTAAAAGCTCTGTCTGCCATCTAGTGTAGAAAGAAGATACAGAACACACACATTACTGCTAAAACAACTCCAGGCACCTAGACAATACATTGTAAACTAGGCTGTGCGCTAGCATGTAAAATAAAATGTCATCTCTTTTTCAAAGATTTATGTTTAGCTTCCTGCCATGAGAACTATGAGAAAATGAAAAAGGGGATGCAAAGGATAAATTTACATGAACAAAAAAGATAAGCTCAAGATGTTTTAGATTTCTACAAGACAGCTTCACAAAAGTACACTTACATGACCATGTAGATCAGTATTAAGAAGCATTATTGCACAGGTAAGGCAATGGACTCCATCTAAAGAAAGAGAAACAGAAAGCATTAATTCACTATTTATTGTTGGACTTCTCTGTTATTACCATTAAAATAGTATATATCAAGAACCTATGAAAACATGGTACTGTACTAGGCATAACTAATCATATTGGTTTAGGGGGACAGAAAATGAAAAGACTAAATTATAGAAAGAACTTCAATGCAGAGTTGGACTCTACTGTTGATAAAGTAAATTGTTCCTACCTTTCTGGAAGACAATTTGACAGTACATATGCAAAGCCTTGAAACAGTATCCTTTGACACAGCAAATCTATTTCTAGGGCTTCACTCTAAGGCAATAATTAAGGATCTATACAAAGTACAAGAATATCCAGAAGAACACTGCTTACAATGGCAGAGAAGTAAATATGACCTCCCAGAAACACATCTCTGTTAAAGTTGAAGTCACTGCAAATGTTATCCAGGTACAGTTAAAATTCTACTTTCCAAACATTAGAAATAATTGTTCTCCTTACTCTTTCTCTACTAATTCTCAGTACAAGTACAGTAGACAATGGCAGTTTGAGATGCAGTGAAAATTTTATCGATTCACACTAAATATACACAAAGGTCTGTCTGATCATTGAATTAAAAACTAAAGAAAGTTTATTTTTAACAGCTAAAGTTTTTTTGGAGTAGTAGGAGATTTTTGTTATCAATGTCTCTACATAGATGCTACTAAATGCCTAAAAGTATATTTTCGGTATCATTTTATTATCACAAATTCTATACACATTTAAAACAACTCCAGAAAGTATTTGAAAAACTCAGCAGTCAAACTCTCAAATAGCTTGATCAACAGTCAATTGAGTGCACAAGTCCATATTCCTTAATTTATTCAGGAATATTCGCATCTTCACAGATTTGAAGAGGGTTCTAATAAAAACAATACTCTCCTATCTGTAGTTAGCATTCTCTAGCTAATGCTAAAGGTGACAGAGATAGTGAACAACTTGCCTAAATAACACCAGTTTACAGATAGAAATGTGGCCTTAATAAGCAGATGATAAATTAAATGTAGCTACAGCATGGAAAACGGAAGGAAGATAGGAGCAAGTACCTTAGTACACTTATCCCAGTTAATTGGCAACACTAAAGCTACCACTGCTTGTGCAATTAATCTCCATGATTTATTCCAGAATTTGTAAGTTTATGAAAGATTTTCCAATTGCAAAAGAATGTGCTTGACGTCAAACTCTGAAAACTGCTTATTGTGTGAAATGAAAAGATCTTCCTTCAAGTAGGTAGGCTAAGTCAACAATTAAATTGTTTACAACTAAAATGTTTACTCTGTAAAAATAACACAACAAATATAAACTCAGTTTATTAAAATCATAGAGCCGGACTCGGTGGCTCAGCCTGTAATTCCACGCCTTTGGGAGGCTGAGGTGAGTGGATTGCCTGAGCCCGCAGTTTCGAGACCCGCCTGGGCAACTTGGCGAGACCTCATCTCTACAATAAATCAAAAAATCAGCCGGGCGTGGTAGCGCATGCCTGTAATTCCGGCTACTTGGAAGACTGAGGCGGAAGGATCACCGGAGCCCAGCAGGTCGAGGCTGCGGTGGTCGGGAGTAGCCACTGCACTCCAGTCTGGGTGACAGAGTGAGACTCCAATTCAAAAAAAAAAAAAAAAATCATAAAGTCAGTGATCAGTGTTGCAATAATTCATGTCAAACAAAAGTACCACAGATACACCATAACTTCCAGTGAGATCTGTAAATGGTTCCAAAACTAACCACAAAGCTAAGCACACATGGACTTTCAATAAGAAGTATAGGGACCAACAGTATAAGTGATAAAAAAGAAACCAGAATAATAAATAAATAAAATAAACCTCAGAATAACAAAGCATGACCAATTTAAAGAAAGTAGATGTCATACTATGGAATTTAAAAAAAAGAGTAAAAATAATTTTAAAAAGAATAAAAAATTATCATGTCCTTTAATATTACGATTTAAAAAATTTTTATGGCATGAGAAAATACAATAAAAGAAAAGAACAGTTAGAAACAAAATTCTGTAATGATTCCAATTTGACATTAAATATTGTATAAAAATAGACTAGAAAGAAAGAAATCAAAGCATTAATAGTTATCTCTCTGGGTAATTAAAGATACTTAGACCATTTTTATTATCTTCTGTGTAGTTTTATATATTTTCAACAATAAAATTTAATTTCATAATAAGGAAAATAACCATTGTTATAAAAAAGAAAATCAAGAATTTATATCAGATTACCTTGTGAAGCAATGGTATCCGGGTTACAATAAAAATATCTATTGGAGAAGTGTATTAAAACTCTCTCTCGTTCTTGAGTTTCTCCCACAAGAGAAAATGCTTTAAAGAAATACCTAGGAAGTAAGAATTTTAAGAGTGAAATTTTAGAAAATGTTACCATACTTTTGACAGTTAAAAGTTACTTATATAAAGATATTAATTATACAAAGAAAGGTATTATACAGTTCTCCCCCCCAAAATTACTTACTATACAGCCATTCAAAATAAATTTATACTAATATTTAAATTCTATAAAATGTCAATATAAAAAATGACAGGATGATAGCAGGGTGGTCAACACATCAAGAAAGACTTGGGAAGGTAGGTAGTTTCCCTATCACGTCTAAGTATCAAGTAGCCAATTTTAAAAGATCAGTCAGAAAAGCTAAAGACTACCTAAGACTCAATGCATGATCATAAAGACTGTATTTAGAACTCTATATGCATCAGAATTCTGTCATTTTGTTACATGATTATAATATCCACTAATCCACCATTAAAGTTACAATTACGTTGCCTTATACACAGAAGATTTCTGTTAATTTTATTTGATCTATTATCACCAAATTTTATTATTAATGTTATATGAGGAGGAAATTGGAGGCTGCAATGTTAATTTATTTTTAAAATTATGTAATGAATTAATTTAAGTATAAAATGTCTTTAAATAATAGAAAATAGCCAAATACCACACACCAATCTAAACGAGAGTCACTAGAGTACTGTTTATCATAGATTAACTACAATGACCCACACTTGACAACATAGATTCATTTTCCTAAAGAGGAGATAGGAAGAAAGAAAAGTCATTTAAAATGTCTAAGAAATTTTATTGAAATAAACATACAATAAACCTTATTTCTATAAAAATTTTTCCTTCTTCCTTATTATAGATTTATAGTTTGTTAACCTAAATTATATTGACCGAACTTTAATTCTTCACAACTTTTTCAATAAATCACATAGTAAGCAAAGCAAATATGTTGCTCTTTCCTTCACCCTTATCTGCTTTGATTAGGAAACATTTGAGTACTCTGGATCCAGGAAACTGCCACAGGGTAAATCACAGTAGTTCTCCCTAATTCAAACACCCTCACTCACCTCCCAGGACTCAATTTCCTGGTGTGTAAAATTAAAAAGTTATACTAAATGATTTCAAAATTCTTCCAGATGCTGACATTTTAAAATAATTTGTAGGATTAGGAGTAAATGCTGACTAAGTGTTACCTTCAGCTGCTCTTAGAAATTTTCAGTACAATATAATATGAATCAATGTGTTTCAGATAGCTTCCTTTAAAAAGGTCAGCAAAAGGTGGCTATTGTTGGAAACAGTTTTACAAATATTTTCCACTGACAATGTTAATATTCATTTTTATCCCACTTGCATGAATTCCAAAGTATCATCTTAAAAGGCTATTTGGCTATAGTAAGTAAACACTTAGGGAAAAATTCTATAATAAGCAAATTATGGATGAAATATTACTCAGCCTTTAAAAAGAAGGAAATTCTGACATTTGCTATAATGTGGATGAAACTTGAAGGCATTATGCTAAGTGAAAAGAGTCAGTCACAAAAAGACATGTACAGTATGATTCTGTTCATATTAGGGGTACTTAAAGTAGTCAAAAAACAGAGAAGCAGAAAGTAGAATGGTGGCTGCCAGGGACTGGGAGAAAGGAGAAGAAGGGGGAATTATTGTTTCATGAGTGTAGAGTTTGTTTTACAAGTTGAAAAGAGTTATGGAGATGAATAGTTGCACATTATGAAGGTATTTGGTGCCACTGGCTGTACATTTAAAAATGGCTAAGATGGTGAATTTTGTGTTATATATATATATTTTGTCACAATTTTTTTAAAAAAGAAAAAACAGGAAAACTCCCACAGACTCCTTAATTTCTCCAGATTTGCTTTGTCACCATCATTCTTTACTCGGCCATCTGGACTTGTGTTTACCACTAGATGCAGACTATCAGTTTATGTGCAATTTCATTAAAAAAATACAATTTTTCTTACTCTCTATGTTTAATGCCTGTACTACAATTTGAGCTAAATTTACAAAGTACAAGCCGAGCATCTCAAATCCAAAATTCTGAAGTGCTCCAAAATCTAAAACTTTTTGAGTGCCAATGTGATATTCAAAGGAAATGCTCATTGAAGCAATTCGAATTTCAGATTTTCAGACTTAGGATGCTCAACTGGGTAAGTAAAATGTAAATATCCCAAACTCCACAACACTTCTAGTCCCAATTATTTCACATAAGGGATACTCAACTTATAATCAGGGCATTAAAAAAAACAACAACAACAAACCAAATCAGATTCTAGCTAGGGCCCATTACTTTCTCCTCTAAGAATTAATCATTTGGAAGTGGTGAAGAATAGACATGATATTTAATCATACCTGAGAGACTGATCCAGCGTCATTCCTGTAAAATCAAAAAACTTCAGATATTCTTCTGCAACTAGCCTGCTAAATTCATTGCTATAAAAAAAGAACACACTTGGTTACTGAAACGGAAACTATTAAAATACAAACACACATGCAAAAATATGAAAAACTCAGAGAGACACCAGCCTTGGGTCAGAACGTACTTCTTGCCTAGGTGTTTTGCAACATCTGATCTTTTGAATCTGTCCAGTTGATAAAGGCGTTTGGCCAACCTTTTGGCTGCTTCCACGTTGCTGCTGGTGCCATTACTAAGACTTTCTGGGGCCTCCTTTTCCAGAATTTCAGTACTTCCCATTTCAGAATGAGACTCTAGCCGAGTTGTTTTCAGCCCAGCATTGCTATGCAAATTGATAAAGAAAACAAAATGATAGAAAAAATTTTTCTTGAATGGCAAAGGAAAAAAATGAAATTATGATATTGTAGAAATGACTAAATGAAAATTGTTTTTAAGAGATTATTTTATGCTTAAATATTCATAAAAATATTTTCAGTTATTATGTTTTAAAGAACTAAAGAAGTGATTGCCTAAGCTCTAGACAAGCAGTTCTCAAACTTTTTGTGCTCCAGACCTTTGCATTCTTAGAAGTACTGAGAACTCCAGAGAGCTTCTGTTTATGTGGTTCATGTCTATTAATATCTATCATATTAGTAATTAAAGCAGAAAAATTTTAAATATTTATTAATTCATTTAACAATAATAAGTCTGTCCCATATACTATAAATATTATACTTGTAAAAATATAACTATGTTTTCCAAAACAATGTATGTTTTACAGAGCAAGTCACAGTGATTCACATTTTCTTCAAATTTCTTTAATGACTGTCTTATTAGAAGACAGCGGATTCTCAAATTCACCAAGGAAGTGCTGGTCAGGTGCTTCATTGTCACTGAGAATGCACTGAGGGCTCCTGAACAACCAGCTGGTACAAGTTGCTGCAGGTCCCAGCGACTTTCCAACTACCACCAAACTTGGAAAAGTTAACTGTCCTTAGCAACTCCTCTCCAAGCTCACCACATGGGCAAATACCCCATATGCTGCCCTTGAAAGGAAGCTATAGGAATAGGGAAAAGAGAGACAAGTTATCCCATATTGCCTTTTAGATTCAACTATGCGAAAATGTCAATTCACACATTGCCAAATGAGACCAGAGAAGAAGCTGGGAGTACAAAATGAGGTCTACCAAATGCTGGTTCATTTTACTGCAATTAATTTATTTGTCATTTATTATTATTCAATGAATACCACAGTCAATGCCAATGCCAGAACAGGGCATAAATTGGAACTGGTCCAAGCAAACCACGATATGCGGTAACCCTCCATAAACAAAAAGTCACCTTAAACAATTTTCCAACAGAAAATATCCACCAATTAAAATGAATTGCTTCATTATGATGAAATCATGAAAATACATTTAATATACATCATTTCAAACCCTCAATTATAGAGTCAAAATTACCAGTCTGTTTTATAAAATGCACCCTATCAGAAATGGAATATTTAATTATCAGCTACAAAAATACCTATTATAAATAAATTCATAGTAGAAATTTATTTCAGGCAATTCATGGTTACATTGTGTTTTCTCACATAAGTGACGGAAATGTAAAATATTTACTCTAAGAACTATATTAGTTATAATCAAGTAATTTTTATAATTACAAAAAAAAGATCCTCGGAGTTGTGTTTCTATGCATTCTTTTCCTCTATATAATACCCATCATGTAGTAAAAACAAATGTCAAATAAATGATTTTCTTCTCAATTCAACTGCTAATTATTGCTCACTTCTCAGGGCACATTCATGCCATGTATTTAATCATTCTGTGAAAACAATGTAATTACACCACACATACAGTACTAGTCAAATTTTGTTCAAATATAAGAAGCTTATCCTAATGAGAATATACTGTAAAAATTTACTGCTCAAAATCACTCCCATTTCTCATGTTTCTCATTCTACATATTTGCTTTTTCCTTGCCCAGCCCAGGTGATTTCACCTAATTTTCTTCATATTCACTAGAAAGATATAATATTTTAGAATCTGTGTGCGTCAGACTTCTCTGGACCTTAAAAAGCCTTCAGTAAAAGGAGAACATAAGGAACAAGGAGAGGATAAATGTCTCCATTCCTAGACAGCTTCACTCTGTCCCATTGCATGACTTATGAGATTACTTAAATAAGAACCAAAATTGCTCCTTTGAAATCAGAAAGCTTAGCAGCATGATATCAATACAAACTTACCAGCACCAATACAGATGCCAAGAGGAGCCCATCACAACCCCCAGGGCACAGCAAGGCCATCCTTCCTCTGTTAAGCCCTTTGGGGAGCTCTTTGCCCCACAAGTCCAGTGTCTGCTGATCCTAGGCCTTCCAAGAACCTAGCTCCCTGTGAGGTCATATTATTATGACCTCACATTCTCAGCAGAGTGATCATTGTCAGGGTTTTTGTAATGTTTTTATAGCTCCAATAAAAACAGAAGCCAGAACACAAGGGCTGCTGTGTATCAAGGGCATAAAAAACAATGCAGCCTGGCCTTGTTCACACTTGATAAAGCAGACTAAATGATCCTTCTCAGAAGGGATAACACCCCATTTTGTTTCCTTGAATACTCAAGACATTGTCCTTCTAGTGTGCTGAGTTTTCAATGCTTTTAGTAGTTTGAATTTTCCCTTATTTTCTACAAGTTCAACTTTAGTGCCCGTATGTCTTGATCAAATCAACTTTACAATCTCATAAGGTGAAATCCCTGCCAGTACTTAAAAGTAGAAAGGTTCTCCCTGTGTTCTTGAAAATGCTTAACTGGGATCAGTACTTCCCACCTCCAAGTAACATGATATTCTCTCATCAAAATACTCTTCATCAAATGAAGGACCAGCTCATTAAGTCTGACCACCAGGCCTTCTCCTAACCTTTTGAATCATGCCAAGATTACCAGATTTTCCAAATAAAAATAATAGGACACCCCAGTTAAATTTAAAATAAACAAAAAACATTGTTTAGCATAAGTATGTCCTAAATATTACACGGAACATATTTATACTAAAATATTATTCACTGTTTATCTGGAATTCATGTTTAACTGGGTATCTGATATTTTATCTGGAAAACTTATTTTCTGAAGGTTTTTTTTACATTTTATTTTATAGAATTCTAATTCTAAGTCCATAGACAGTCAATGACTGTCAATTGGCAGTGTGTTTCACAAGCAGAATCCTTTTGGGTTTTGGTTTGACTTGCTCTGATTTATTCCTACTATTCTTCTACTGTTTTATCAAGATTTTGTTGCCTATAATCTATTAATTCTTCACTAATGTCCTCTAAATTAAAAAAGGAAAACTCTCCTCTCTTTGTATTTTCACCCCTTTCCCAACCTGAATACGACCACCATAAATGCCACAATATGGCTACCTTACAAAAACCCCAGACAAGATAAAAATCCACATCCTGTGACATATCATATAAGGTCCTTCATAAACAGACCCAATTTTTCTTTTAGAGTTGTCCTGTACTATTTCCCTCACGCTCCAGTTTCACAGAAAGATAAGCTATACTCCCTTACCTCTTACATGTGCTGTTCTCTTTGCCACTCTCATCACCACAACTCACAATGCCAAATTCTGTAAACTCTTACTGGCCCTATGGAGTCTAAGTGAAATAACAGCTTTTCTAAGAAACGTAGTCCAACTCCAGAGCACTTACCTGCTCGACCTGCTGGGGTCCGGCAATCCTTCCGCCTCAACCTTCCGAGTAGCTGGAAATACAGGCGCGTGCTACCATGCCTGGCTAATTTTTGATTTATTGTGGAGATGAGGTCTCGCCAAGTTGCCCAGGCGGGTCTCGAACCCGCAGGCTCAGGCAATCCACTCACCTCAGCCTCCCAAAGGTGCAGGATTACAGGCTGAGCCACCGAGTCCGGCCTCACTGCAGATCTTAAGAGGGGAATAATGATCAGACTGGGGTTTTGGTAAAACCACTTTTGCTTATAATTTTGAGGAAAAACTGGGAGGCCAAAGGCACACAAACCAGCCAGGAAAAGTATCCAAATATTATGGTCAACAGGCGAGAAACTGAATACAAAGTGAAAGGCTGCTCTGAGAGAGACTTAGAAGGTAAAATGAAAGAACAGGATGTGTGTAGAGCTGTGTTCACAGAGAGGGCACAGGCTAAATCTGACTTAGAAGTTGGGTAAAAGGTGATGACACCAACCAGATAACAAACACAAGAGGAAGAAGAGGGTATGTATGCATCCAAAGAGAAAGGGACGGAAGAAAAAAAGACCATGAGTTGGTTTCAAAGACACAATAAGCATAAGGCATCCATAGGCAGAGCTGATAGCCACAGCAAGCATCCACACTACCCATGGGAATTTAGTAAAGGCAGTAGTGTCATCCCACATTGGTTGATGGAATCACCTGATGAAAAGTTGTTGTGTTCAATATGACCAAAGAACCCTAAAACATGTCAACACAGAAATATGTCTAGCAGTGTATTCATCTCAACACAATTCTATTACAGCAAAAGAATTGGGGGGATACACTTTCTCTTCATTTGTTAAGGAAATTCTACAGGTGAGTGTTCAGTTTGCCAGTGAGTAACAATTATTAATTTAGAATATGCTAAAAGAAAGTATCTGCCAAAGAACTCTAGTTAGATTGCCAAAGTGCAAACCACTGGCTCGACTGGTCTACAAGTTGTGTATCTAAGTCCACTATCCTCTGTGATCCTCAGTCTTTTCAGCTATAAAATGAAGACAGCGATGCCAACTTCACAAGATCTTGTAAAGATTAAGTGAGAAGATCCATATAAAATGCTTAGTGCAGTGTCTGGCACATAGTAAACAATAAATGTCAGTTGTCATCACCAGATCCATTTTCGTCACAACTACCACAAGCAACATCATTAAATTATTGCTTGGTTATTTTAAAGATCACATGAGACAATATATATGAAAGCACTTTATTAAATACAAATCATTATGCAAATGTTAGTTAGCACTCAGAAGAAATTAATACTTGACTTTATAAGAACTAATGTCTCAAATAAACCCATTCATAGGATATATTTGCTCAAAGGGAGTGCATCTTACTGCATTTAAGGGCCTTTACAGGGAAAGCAAACAATACCTAATTACTCCTAATAGCTATTTCTCCTTCAGCATAGAAGTTAAAATTCATCTTACCCAAGGAAGTTTTTTTGTTTTTTGCTTTTTTTTCTAGTCAGAGTCTCACTCTGTCACCCAGGCTGGAGTGCGATGGCATGATCACAGCTACTGCAGCCTTGACATCCTGGTCTGAAACTATCCTTCTACCTCAGTTTCCCAAGCAGCTGGGACTACAGGCACGTACCACCACACTTGGCTAATTTTTTGATTTAGTAGAGACAAGGTCTTGCCACCTTGCCCAGGCTGGTCTTGAACTCCTAGGCTCAGATAAACCTCTTGTCTAAGCCTTCCAAAGTGCTAGGATTACAGGCGTGAGCCACCACACCCAGCCAAGAAGAATAAGTGTCACCAAGAGGTTTTCTCCCTACTTCTACCCCCAGGAAACCTTTTAAACCTCATTCATTTTACTCAGTCCTGCATTCAGTATTCCAGGAGAGGGCACCAATGTACAAGGTAGTTTAATAGTATGGAAACTGACCAAATTCACCAAGAGTGAGAGTCTGCATTTGACTCTGAGACACTGACTTCCAATAAATAATAGAACTTTTCACGCTCCTAGGGATTCACACTTCTCTGGGAGCATGATCCAGATGATGCAGGTTTTCATTTGGTTTAGGGGGTTTGTGGTAGATTTTTTTTGCCCCTGTACTAAGTTACAGCTCTTCTGGGTCTGATCTCAAATGAGAATGTCGTGTCTGCAATGTTATCAAGTCAATTTCAATAAGTCCATACAATAGCAACCTGAGATGGATAATTGCAAAGCAATTATTAATAATGCCCACGTTGATAAATAAGTAAAAAGAATGTAAAAACACTTATATGTTCATTACTTGCACAGAAGCGTCTTTGTGTAAAGTGCGATCCAAGAGCTCCAATTCCACTGTACACAAAGGGAACAGTTGCATCACTTGCAGTGTGACTAACTCATTTTCCCAGAAAGCTCCTAAGATGTCATGGGACATTCTCTTCCACTCACATTTTTGTCAGGTTGAATTAGTGTCAGTATATATTCACTGGGTATCAGAAGCTGGGCACTGAAAGAAGTAAAGTAGCCCGCAGAAAGCGGCCCAGGAATGGCCAGTGAGGGAACGTATGACCTTCAATCAACTTATCTGGCAATGGGTACTTCACAAAGAAGACAATCCTTACGTGGATAAGAACTATAATTTTAATATTATAAAAAGACTGTTAATCAGTTTGGATCAAAAAGTTGGCATACCTACACCACCAATCCTGTGAATCCCTGCTTCCTGTTTAGCATATACGTAAAAGTTACCCCTAAAGCCAGTCAGGACAGCCTTCCTCTACTTCGCAAGCAGTGGCCAAAGAGTTAGAAGATATGTCCTAATTCAAGGTGAGATTTTTATTGTGTATTTTGGGGTTTTAAATATTATCAATCTCTGCTAGAACTTTCAACTGGGAACTTACATTCTTTTCAAATTTTCTTGAGAATAACCATTAGGGCTAAACAAGTAAAAATTAGTGGACTAAACATTGGCATCCTATCCCTTAGCTAAACATTGCAACTACTCAAAAGTATACTTATAATACAAATTTAGTTTGATCCCAGGGAGTTAATAAATACAATGATCTAGTCAGAGGACATCAGGGAAGTTCTGCTCTCCCATTGCTCCCTCTCTCTTTTCTCTTCTAACTCTTCCATCATCTGGGGTACAAGAGACAGTACAAAATTGTGGTTATACATTGTCCAATTTTTACCATCTCTATTAGCACTTGCTGCCCTCTCTTCACATTCTAAGACACCTCTTCCACTGCTGTACTACAGGCCTGGCTGTGTTCTTTGTGGTGTGCTCAAAACAACACATCTGTTTTACAGTGTCTCTCTCATGCTGACACACCCACAGACCACACGGCGCGGTACCCTCTATCTCACCTTGTCAACAACTTCCGCTTTCTGACACTCCAGGCCATTTCTACTACAACAGCCTGACCACATATCATCTCTCTTTACTGAGTTTCCCCTACACTGGAATCTGCTGTATGTGATATTCGGGGGATGTCTTGGATTTGCTTAATAAATTTTGTAATTTTAAAGAGAAAGAATTAGCACTGGCAAGAGTACAGCAGTAAGATCATCCTCTCAGGAAATAAAATCCTATCTTTGTCACTTCCTGCTTTCATCTCTTCAAA